TGCAATATATATATATATATATATATATATATATATAATATATATATATATATATTAACAAGACATTATAAACAGAACCCAGAAGTGCATAGCATTCTACACAGCTCCGCCCCCAGAGTTACAAATTATTATTCAAGACTGTGGGTTTCTGCTGTTTATTTGAGTTTAAGAGCCATGATCATTAGGAACTAACAGTCACATCTGTCAGTAAAACACTGTTTAACCAAAACTATTGGAGTAAAAAATTTATAATATAAATATAAAATTATACTGGCTGATACTCTCAGTTCCCTGAAGTTTTAAGCATCTAAAATCTATATCAGGGTCATTCTACAGAAACGTCCATGTTTTTAATCTATCCACAGGAGTCACTGGTGTTACTGATCGTCATTGGTGTTACACATAAGAAAGGTAACACCAGAGAGAGTAACACTAGTGACATTTTTAATGAAATGCTGCTACAGACCATCAAACCACATGTTGTCAATTATGAAATATTCACTAAAATATGCAATTTAATCCATTTGTATTCTATTTTTTTCACAATTACCTAAGAATAAAGTAGTGACTTCAAATAAAAGCTTCATATGAAATCATGAGCTAAATGAGAAAATTTCTGATAACTGAAAAAGACTTACCATGTGCTTTTCTTCGTAGATCTTCAGAAAAAAGGTAAAAGGAAGCCATGTGATGTCATCAGTGTGATTTTTATTTCAAAATAAGAGATACCAGTGACACGTCTCCTGGGGACTACAACTTTCATACTTTATAATATTTATTTGGCATTTGTTTTCTTTATGTCATTTAAATCATATATTTCAGAGTCAGGTATAGATTCTTGCAATTAAAATAGCAGAAAAATGTTTTTTTTTTAATCTCAAAATATGGCACTCACCCTTTACACATGACTGTGAGGACAAGCACTTCTGTGGTGCTTGGAATTCTACATAATATTGCAATATTGATGGCTCAAGAAGGTGTAATTGTTAAAATGGCTTATTGTTTTATTTTAAAATATCAATAAATTGTAACCCTAACATGTTTTTCCAAGTGTAATATACCTGTAAATGCTAGGGACACGGAAATGGACGTTTCCATAGAATGACTCATCAGCTACAAAATGTTTATATTTTATGCTAATGTGTACCTGCCAGGGAAGGTCAGATTCGATGGCCAGTGGCTCGCTGTTGGTGGTGACCTCGGTGATCTCTCCAAACTGCGCGATGACTTCGGCCTGACGCTGACGCAGAGAATTTAGCAAGTGACTCTCAGCCCTGACAAAGACACACACACACACTCACAATTACACACACCCCAACTACACACGCCCCAACACTGTACACAAAAACAACAGATCCGCTAATCCTGTTACCAGCCACCCTCTCATTGCCCTGAATGTAATCTAATAACCTGCAACAGACCTATGTCTAACGCTTTTTTCTTTTCTTTCTTTTTTCACCCCCTCTTTCCGCTCGGCCTCTCTGCCTTATTGGGGCAAAGCAATAAAACCCTCCTTTGTCCCATCTCTTCACCTAACCTCTTAATTCCTCAGAACAGCAATACCACACTTTCCGTTTCTCTAAAAGGAAAAAAAGCTTCAACTGCACCAATAGAAAAAGAGAGACTCAACAGGACAGGATGTTGTCTTTGTTAGTTTTTTCTTCTTCTTTTTTATGTTGTTTTTGTTTGTTAAAAATGTTTCATGATCTTTCATCAGCAACAGGAACAAAAGTGTAGTACCCAGATAAGACTTTAAGCTAAAACACACAAAAAAGTAAGAAATGAAAAAAACAGAGGTAGCACAAAAAATGATACATAAAATTTATCTATAAATAAAATAACTTGTTCTTTATGCATATATATATATATATATATATATATATATAATATATAATATATATATATATAAATACATAAACATATATATAAATACACACACACAAACATACATGAAGTCAGGCGGCCTCTACTTTCTATCAATTCTCCAGCAATTTTCTGGTCGAATCTGGACAATGCAGCTTTGTAGCTTTGGGCTAATGCATGATGAGTCTCTCCTGTCTATTAGCCACCCACCAATAATATGAGGAGGAATTTACAGGGCCAAGGATGCCTGGAAAAGGTCATGGAACAAAACTCTCGTCTGCAGCTAGCTGACAGCTACACTGTCCAACAAACACCCACAGCCTGGCTGGCCAGACGCTGGGGCTGTTCTCTTGATTTTATTATGTCAGTGTGGATGGGGCTGAACAATTCTTAAAAACTTTAAACACACTCATGCCTACAGCGGTGTAGAGAGTGAGAGAGAGAGAGAGAGAGAGAGAGAGAGAGAGAGAGAGAGAGAGAGTGAGAGTAAGAGAGAGAGTGAGAGAGAGACAGACAAGCAGGGAGGCAGAGAAAGAAAAAGACTGATGTGCAAAACAAAATTGATGCTCTTTTTGCGTCCAATGACATGGACAGATTTTTCCACCCTGTGGCAACTTACCCACAATGCACCAGGAGAGACAATGCATTGTGAAGTATATTACAAGTATATTACACTTTCTTTCAAAATATGTCAGCAAAATGTAAATGCTGTTCAGAACATAGATTAATGATTATTTCACATATCATCAGATGAAAACTAGCATAAAAAGTGTGTACCGCTGGAAAGCAGCATAGAGGCGGTCCTGCAAAACAGCCTCTTCCTGATCCATGTCTCTGATGGGAAAGGACTCCTTTAAGACCAATGCAATTAAAGAAAGAGAGAGATATGACACAGCTACAACAGAGATATGAGCACACTAGTGCATTTCAGAAAAAAGGATAAAATATACATACAGTACCGTGCAAAAGTCAGAGACCACCCTTCATTTAATTTTGAGTCAAAATGGCCATTAAGAACAAGTTATTTTTAACATCAGAAAAAAAAAAACAAACACACATACATGATAGAAAATGACGAAGCTTATTACAGCTTCCATTCTTGTTAGGAAACTTGCTTTTAGCTTTTTAAAGAAATCTGCAGACATATTTTTCCACAACAAGTGGAAAAAGACCAGTCACAGATCAGTTGGTTGCACTTTCTCATGATGAGAGTTATCTCAAACACACTCAGTGGATTTGGATTCTGAGGTGCTCAATTCTTAATTAGCAAAATTCTTTGTTTTTATCTATTTGCTTTTCTCACTTAAGGCTTCTTGACTACACAAGCTACACATCCTTTCAGACCCATAGCACTGAGTTGTCTTCTCACAGTGGAAAGATAGACAGAAACACCTGTGGATTTTTCAGATCTGAAGCAAAAGGGAGCTTGATATTTTCTCTCAAAGACTGAGAGTTTAAGTACTGTTTATCTGATGGTGACAAATTTGCTGGTCTACCAGGTTGTGGTTGTTAGAAGTCCCATTTTCTTAATGATCTTTTAAACATTTTTTGGAAGTCCAGTTTTGTAAACTCCTTTTTTTACTTTCTCCTTTCTATTGCACATGGATTATATTTTTAGCTTTCCAGATATATCTCCTCAAAAGTGAACATATATATATATGTATATATATATATGTGTGTGTGTGTGTGTGTGTGTGTGTGTGTGTTACCTTTGTATATAAAATATAAGGGACAAGAATAATCACAAATACATCAGACTAATAATTTTACCACATTATTATTATTATTATTATTATTATTTGTTATTATTATTATATTATTATAATTATCATTACCACAATTACAATGTGAGTAGGTGTGAGCAGAGGCTATATGGAGAGCTTAAAAATAAATAAGTAAATAAGTAAACAATACATAAATAAATACAGGCATATGAGGTACAGAAAAAAGGAGTCCCATTTGGCATCTCGTGAACACACTTCGGTACCTTTGCATTCCCCCTTAAGACGGCCATTACTTTCCGTTTTCTCGCCCACTCCTTTTCCTCCATCATCCCTCTCTCCGCACATTCATCCTGCCAGGCATACGTTCAGTGAGGGCCGGCACAGAGAGTACGAGCTCCGGATCCATCGCAATAATACAATCTCCAGGCGATTGTTGTGAGCCAGTCCCCTACAGACACAACACACACATGGCTGAGTCTGTTTGATGCACATTTCGAGGGATAGCATTCAGTCAGCAAATTTGCTTCCCTATTCATTGGCATTGTAACGGCTGACTGACAGTGGTGCGCCTTGGTTGAAGTATTATGAAGGCTTTTGTTACTGTAAGACTCCAAACAGACAGCAGTATTTTAAAATAGCTATGGATTGTGGGGTGCATAATGTGCTTTATGAAAGGGAAGTGGGCGCAGCAGCAGTTGGGAAACAGCAGTGAGGTTTTATAGGCAAATAAAGCCCTCATTTGCAGTAGCACTGAGACGAGAAACGATTATCCAAGAAACGCGATGAGTCAAGCAGCACCGTTACTATATCTTATTATAGATCAATTTCTCTGTTTAACTTTGCATTCTCTTCTTAACTGCACCACTCTTTCATCCGCTCCACCGCCAAGACAGATTATCACCAAAAATACGCTGGATAATTTTTCATTCTACGTCTTTTACTTCGGTATCTGAAATGGTTTAAAGGTTCCTTTGGTTTTCAGACAATACCTCCCCACGTAACTACATTCAACCCTAAGACTGAAATGCTAGGTTACAGAAATTTGCTTCTGTAAGCTTCATCGCATCCTCCTGCTAGTCCGCACAAGTCTTTCACGCTCCAGTTTTCTGCAAAATGTTTGTTCCCAAACCAAAAAGGCAAAAATGAATAGTGGCACCACATTTGTCCTCACAAAACTATAGAAGATTGAAACAACAAAAGTACAGGAAGAGTTCAAGTTGCCATTTTCTGAAGGCTTTTATTTTTCCTCTGAAAGACACTAATGTAGGCCACAAATTCTACAAAATGCTTTGGTTTCCATGATTGAAACTGTTCTGACAAAGCTATGTGGTACGAACTAGGTACAACGTAATCACATAGACCTTTTTACGAAGGATTTAAGACAAACAAAACAACTGGACAAAAATCTCAGAACTAGGAATGGAAGTGGCTGGCAATGCATCTTGAGTCATATTTCTGCAAAGATAAAATTTCTGCAAAGATGAACTGAAATTAACTGATTAATTAATACTGACATACAGAGTAAATTATACTTGGATAGATTTAGGGGAACATGTTGCTAAGGACAGGATGACTGTAGTGCACTCTAATCACTTTACGTACTTCAGCCATCAGGTGCACACAGGAAGGTTACATAGACCTATTTTGTAAGTACTGTGTGTGTATGTGTGTGTGTGTGTGTGTGTGTGTGTGTGTGTGTGTGTGTATATATGTGTGTGACTCTGACCTGTTCCAGTGAAGGCCTGCCCACTGGGATCATGTCATCCTGCACTCGTTTTCTCAGCTGTTCTACATAGTGGGGGATAACCTCTTCTCTCCTCTCCACCAGCTGCTCCCGCAACTGATCCTTCCATCCGGCCAGGGGGAGCTTGGAAGCTCTAGCCACTGTCCTCTCCTCCAGAACACTACCTGGAGAGAGAGATGGAGAGAGAGAGAGAAAGAGAGAGAGAGAGAGAGAGAGAGAGAGAGAGAGAGAGATTAAAAAAAAGACTCCATAACTAACTAGACAGTGACAATGTGCATTATTTCGCTCCTATACTTTGGAGGCTCAATTTAAAATGAAACAGGACTATAAACGAGTGTCAACTTTAATGTGATGGGATTTTAGTTTTGTTTCGCAAGCACTTTAGGAATTACTGCATGCATTTAAGGGGACCACAAGTACAGGACACAGCCATGGATGTGTCCTAACATTAAAGAGGAATTCTAATAATTTTTCAAAATTTCAGCATAATTCAGTCACTGAGATGTAAACAAACTCTTTCAAAGTATTTTGATGTAAAATCACGCATTGTGGAGAAACATACCTTGCATGATTTCTTTACAATGGTGACCCGCACCTTAACCTCTGTGAGAATGCATTTCACTCACTGAATACAATACTCAAAGCAACAAGGCCCTGAAACTACCAGAAATTGATAAATGGAAATTTTCTGTTCTTAGGATTAGGTCAATTGGTCCAATACTTATGGTCCACTAAAATGTGAGCACTATGCATATCAAAGGACCTGATTTATAGTTTAACCTAAAAAAAAAAAATAAATACGCTGTAATCTTCAATTTATGCAAATAGGTGTCATTTCATTTTGAATCCAACACATCTGGAGTACGGAGGCAAACCAACAAAAATAGATCCTTGTTCAATTTACACACTACATTGTATAATTTATTCATTTTTCAGGAGATATTTCTGGGGAGACTGAGTATTCCAAAGTATTTGGCTCATTCCAAAACTGGAGCTCAATAGGTTATTAAAAGATATAGAGAAAATTGCATATCAAGCTTCGCTCTTGCCTCAGATCTGAAAAAAATGGTGCTTCCATCCTTCCACAAAGACAACTCAATGTTATGGGTCTGAAAGGATGTGCAGCTGTCAAGAAGCCGATATTAAGGAAATGGCTTAACATCACTGAATGTGTTCGGGGAAATATGAGAACCTAACAATGTCACCCACCTCTAAGACTGAACTTTGAAGGTGTTTACAAGAAGCATGGAAAAATATCCCTGTGGATTTTGTTGAAATATTGAAAGCAAGACTCCCAAAACATACTGAGAGGTGAAATAAAATTAAAATAAAGGCCCGTTAAACATATTGTAGCATCAGTGAAGAAAACGTGGGACACATTGCGCTTTAAAATGCTCTTTTGTTGAACAGGCAGCAAGGGAGAACCACCACTTAGTCGGGAAACAGGCACACATGTCAACTAAGATCAACAACTATGAACATTAAAGTAAACCTCCCGTGCTTCTATGGCAAAGCGGCCAGTGGCAGTACACCACAATATGTTTTCTTTTTTTCCTGACTCAAAAATAAATAGCTTACTTAATGGCCATTTTGACTTCAGTCTCTGACTTCCTCACAGTTCTGTACATAAACACACACGCATAAAAGCCAGGCCTAATAAAGCATATTCAGGAGGTGCAAGCACTTTCCTCCAAACCAAATCACAGAGAAATGTGGAGATTTAATTAAACCATTCAGTTAATCAGAGTCCTGCTAATGAAGGCCTAGTGTAATAGCACCCCGCCACACACTCCATGACACACACTCACACACACACAAACGCAATCAGATTGATCAGTGGAGGAAGTGCCGTTCCATAGCTAATGTTTATCGCTGGACAAGTATCCCTCATGTGTGCGGAGAGAATAGCTCTGGAAGAATTGCACTAGGCCTAATAGGGTTTCACAGCTTTTCTTGTAAGCTGGTCTCAACGTTCAGTCGATGTGTGCAGTCTGCCTCCTAAAGAACCCGCTCCTATCCGGCAGCACCAAATGGATTCCCTTGAGAGGGTTTTCTTCTTAAACACTGCACACTGGACGACGTCCATTCAGCTAATGATGTTTCACATGTCTTGTTCATTGTTAACATGCTTTGTACAAAAGCGCATGAGAGTGTGAGCACCAGGGAACGGCCTGCAATGGTATCATATGTAAAGGACTCCGGAGAAAAGCTCCAGACACACACCAGTGGGAGGCAGGAGAGTGAGAACACACTGAAACAATTGTCTCAGCCCTATTGTCATTGAGAGTACTCGATAGCTGAATGGATGGATGGTAGGTAGTGGAGGAGAGGAATGGATGTGCCTCCTCCTCCTCTCTCTGTGCAAGAGTGTTAATCCTGGTATCCTCTTTACTAGTGCGCCTTTGTGGGATTTTATGAACATTCTGAGACAATAGCCAAGTGTCTAATCTCACAGCTCCAGCAAAAATCCCAAACAATCAAACCCAAATGTTAGTCTGCTAACGCCGCATGCACGCATTCCGGCTGGCCTAAGCCCGCCACCGATCCTGCGAAGGAATTACAACAGCCACGCGCCACCTCAACCAATCACGCGAGACGGCTTCCACACTAAAACAAAGACGGTGAAAAGTCTGGCAGTTCTCCACCTGTCCCCCTGCTAATGGAACAAGGATTGAGGCAGGAACAACAAAGACTCCAGCACAAGGGAAAAGCCTATTACACCACTGTAATCAGTGTGTGTCCACCTGAGCAGTCTCCAGCTCCCTGATGAGGAAAGAGGTCTTTTGTGAGGGTTTATGAGATTTGAATAGGTGGGCTACTCTGGTAATTCTGTAATGAGTAATGTCTTATCTGAGAAGTATGTGATAAGTGACAAATTGCGTTATAAGTGAGAGATAAATGATGTATTACTTTCGCATGTTATTCCCAGAAATTACTGCACACTTTTTTTAGGTTCTATTAGGTTAACAATGAACATTTAAGGAAAACTCATACTTGACATTTAATAGCGAGTATTGTCAGATAAATATAAAAACAAATACATATAAGGAAAATTCATGTTTGATCTCGCCAGCAAAACATGCAATATGTGAGAACAAATATCTTTAACCAAATAAATATAAATTACTAAATGTACATCTTACCAGGCAAATCTATGATGGTTGAAGCATCATCTTCGTTCAGCATCTGAGACAGCTTCTCATACAGACCTCGCTCGTCCTCGTGCATGAATTCTTTGAGACAAAATAAGCTTTAATGATCAGCTGTAAATAACAGCCAGTCTTGCTGCTCATTTTAACATCAATGTCAAATATCGATCAATGTCACCTGTACTGCAAAGTCAAAATGAAAACGGTGGTAATGATTTTCCACCAAACTGACACTAATTCTCAACCTTAATTTACATTCATTCATTATAGCTCAAAGCTAATAATAACATACACGTAGGTTCTTATGTTAGGCCATCTAGGGCAAGGAAATATATGCAGAATTTTACACTGCACTGCTTCCACCTAAGGAATATCATTGTCAAAGGTGATTCTGTTTGGTAGGATTCAAGGATATTACAGAACACCGATGTCCAAAAAGATATGGTTGGAATCGCTTTTCTGTTAATAGGCAGGTTTCATTATAACATGCATATTACCTCGATCCCAAGAGCATGCTTTTAATAGGCAAATGTGGGGGGGGGCTACTGCTACGCTGAGGAGCTTCCCTGCTGTCATTTAGAGTATGTTGAAAGAAGTGATGAAGGAAAAAGGCAGAAAATGGAACCAACCAATGCTATGTGACCTTCAGCGATGATGGCCATGGCATGAGCCTATCTTGTCAGCCATCAGTTAAAAAGTATTTACATAGACCGTCCCACCGAGCGCAGCGACTGGCCGAGAGTGATCTCGTTCACCCTGCTTTAATGAACTGAGACGGCCCATTACAAGCAGAAATGGCATACTTAATTCCAGCTCATCTCCCGCTCCGACCCCGACCATCCTGCACCGCCTTGGGTCGCCCTCCACCGCCGCCGAGGGGTCAAAGTAATTTCGGGCACCTTCATTTCCTGTGGAAAGTACAGACGGACAACAAAAGAGAAAAGAGAGAGAGAGAGAGAGAGAGAGAGAGAGAGAGAGAGAGAGAGTGTGAGTGAGCAAGCGACAGAGAGAGAACAAGGTGGAAGGGGGTTGATAGGTGGCGGTTTGGGTAAGGTTAGTGATTATTAGAAGCATATGAAGCGAAAATGTTAATTTTGAAAGCCCACACCGGGCCGGCTGGGCGGCGTTTGCTACCTGATAAGGCCCTCGCTCAGCCCTGTTCCCAGCGCTGAACCCACCAGGGCCCACTGCTGCTCTGGGGCCTAATTAGCATGCCAGGAAAGGTCAGCCCAGGCAATCTCTTAAACACAACCTGCCATATGTTACCTGTGTTCAAAAGAACTAATGAGAAACGTGTAGAAGCCGAAAGAGGCCGGGATTTCAAAGACAATACCCTAACTCTGGGCTGGGGGTCGACAGCCAAAGTAAGCAAAGAGAGAAAGCAAAAGGAAGAGGGGAAAGAGAGAGGGAGAAAGTGAGGGAGTAAGCAAGCTCCATGTCCCATTGCCTTCTTATTAGCAATCACTGACCTATGGGCATCAAAGCTGCTTTCCAGACTTTTATAGCTTCTATTAACCAAGTAGACCCCTGCCGTGCTGCTTTCTGCACCTAAAATCAAGTGTATGGTCTCTGATTTTCAGCACCTACACACTCCGGTCCTAACTGCTTTAAATCCCATTTTGGCTAATTCAAGAGCCGAAAGCTGCAGTTATGATATCATGAAAATTACACACGTTGTTAAAGCTGTGAACTGTGGACAGGCAGGAGTTATGAGAAATATTAAGATACTAAAGCTTGGTATTTTAGTATACTGAAGGACATTAAAATAGCAAAACAATCATTAGGAACATTAAAAATAGACTTCCACTAAAAAAATGAACACTAGTAATGAATTAATTATAATTCAATTGTTATTCAATTGTAATTTTTTAATATAATCTCAGTCTAGTTTGCCTATTTTTGCACCCTTCATTTTAACTGTGATATCCAAATGTAAATGTTTTATATTGTAAATTGTACGTTTAACTGTACAATTTAACAGCCTCAGGAGTCTTTTTGCATAGCTCTCCATCATATTTTAGATTTACTTAAATTGCTGGCCTCCAGTGTCCACAATTCTCTCTGCTCTGTTCTCATATGCACACCATCAATAACTCGCAATGTGGAGTCTGAGAACAAAAGTCTTTATTAGGAACAGTGCAAATATGTTAAAAAAAAGGGCACATGTTTTTTCATGTTGTGAGTAAGTTAGTAGTAAGTAAAAACAATGAAAAGTGGCCCGCCGATTCTAAAAAAGATTTAAAAAAAAATAAACTCAACAGAAAAAAGGAGACATCTTAAGGTACCACAAAAAGTGATTCAGTTTTTGTTTCAGCAGAACATAAATGTAGTATTTATCAAAAGGGACTGACTACAGTAGTGTTACTTTTAAAATAATGTATAGGAGAAGGCCTAGTTTTGATCTCGGCTTGAATTTGATAATCGCTTGAATTATTTACGTGAGGGAACATGCCCGGCAGCTGAAACTCGCTCGCTGCTCGTCTTGTTCCACTTCCCCCCGCAGTTTCTCAGCGGACATGATGCTGGCAACCATCTAAAATCTAGCCTCCATTCCTACAGATCTCCTTCACTTTCCCTCTTCATTTCAGTCTATAGTAATAATAAAAAAAACTCTTATATCTCCGTTAGTGTAAACTGTTCCTGACTTTGTGAAGGAAATGTACTGATTCTACACTTTGATGTTTGTAAGCATGCAAGGTACCCAGAACCACAGTCAGTAAAGAAGTTGTTAAGTGCTGGTCAAATAATATGCTAGACCAAACACTGTGTTACTGTCTTCACACCCAGAAGCTGAAATTTGATACCTTATATTTTTGTCATGTCAAAACAGACTCTGGAAAAAAATCAAATAAAGAAAGAAACAAATAAATTTAGCGCGCAAGTTACTCGATGAAAATTTTGCCCCAGTTATGTCCATTTTGTGTTACCCTTTATGTGTCTCAAATCTAGACAAACATTCTTAAACATTCTCAAACATTCTTAGCTCCACTCGTAATGCTACAAGTGTAGCCCTTTCGGTTTAATGCAGCTTTTAAATGGCATGTTCAAGTGATGGCTCTCCTAAAAAAGTTTCATACCCCTACCAATGAACCAGCCCTGTCTCTCCATCCCCATACCCCTACCAATGAACCAGCCCCATCTCCCAATCCCCATACCCCTACCATTGAACCAGCCCTGTCTCCCAATCCCCATACCACTACCAATGAACCAGCCCTGTCTCCACATCCCCATATTCCTACCAATGAACCAGCCGTCTCCACATTCCCATACCCCTACCAATGAACCAGCCCTGTCTCTCCATCCCCATACCCCTACCAATGAACCAGCCCTGTCTACAATCCCCATACCACTACCAATAAACCAGCCAATGACCATCCCCACACCACTACCAAAGACCCAGCCCTGTCTCCACATCCCCCTACCAACGAACCAGCCCTATCTCCCCATCCCCAGACCCCTACCAATGAACCAGCCCTGTCTCTCCATCCCCATATCCCTACCAATGAACCAGCCAATGAACATCCCCATACCAATACCAAAGACCCAGCCCTGTCTCCACATCCCCATACCAATGAACCAGCCCTGACTCCCCATCCCCCTACCAACGAACCAGCCCTGTCTTCAATCCCCATACCCCTACCAATGAACCAGCCAATGAACATCCCCATACCATTACCAAAGACCCAGCCCTGTCTCCTCATCCCCATACCCCTACCAATGAACCAGCCCTGTCTCCCCATCCCCAGACCCTTACCAATGAACCAGCCCTGTCTCTCCATCCCCATATCCCTACCAATGAGCCAGCCGTGTCTTCAATCCCCATACCCTTACCAATGAACCAGCCAATGAACATCCCCATACCACTACCAAAAAAATAAATACATTCTGATGAAGCTTTTTTTGTTCCCTCATACAGTTTTGTATGCAAACTTTTGGATACCCCTGGCCAAGTTACATGCTTCGTTGATGTTCTAGTGGAAATAGGTTAAAACATCCTCTACAGAGAACAAACTTAAATATGGCATTTTCTGCAAATTGTAGTGTACAATTTCCATATACTCGATAAGTTTAACATACTGAAAAGAAAAAAAAAATTATGTGCTATAATAATTAATCTGTTAAGATTTTATGTTTTTTCCCTCAATATGTTCAATTCAGCAAATAAACATTTACAGTGTTTTAAATTGTTCATAGATGTGTTCTTTGTAAAACTGTGTACTTATTTTCACACAGTAAATCAACAAAACACAGAATTTGACCGGGGTGCCCAAAATTTTGCATACGACTGCTGTAACAAAATGGCATGCATTGAATAGTATAAATCTTTGTTTAGGGTTAAATTAGAAAAAAATAAGACAAATGCAATTAATCGTGACTAACTACACAAGCTAATGCGATTAATTATGATTCATTTGACAGTCCTAAAAAAAAAAAACTTTTCAAATGTAGAGCCTCACTCTAACACACAGCTCTCCAGAAATACACACACCTTCAGACATATATTCACCCTCACACCCACATATATATATATATATATATATATATATACACATATATATATATATATATATATATATATATATACACACACACTCTTCAAAGCACACATGCACTTACACAGCCCTACACACACAACACTCGCAATCATCTACATCCCAACTTACAGCTACATCCAAAAATGGATGTAACTACTTGTTGAGACAGGCTAGCAGTGGAATGCGGCGTGTGTGGAGGTTAGATGTGGAGGCAGGGCGAGTCTCTGTCACTGCGTTTTGAGTCTAATCAAGACTGAAGCTTCACCTCTTGCGTTGGCAGGGGCTTCCAGCTCCGTTTGTTGTTGGTGAGCGGCGAGGGTGCTATCCTGCCTGTCACCTCCTATTTCTCCCCCTCCCTCCCTCCTCCGCCTGCCACGGCTCTCCTCATCTTCCTCTTCTCCACTCAGGAATGCAGGATTTACAATGCCCTTCATCATCCTCCTATCCTCCTCCTCTTCCTCTCCTTGTGCTTGGGGTAGGGAGTGAGGGAGGGAGAGAAAGAGAGAGGTCAGGGAGGTGTGTTTTTCCCAAAGTACATTTAATGATAGCAGAAAATTCCTTCTAGTGATTCTTCCCCAGTTGAAACACTCAAGCGAAACCTCCTAGAATGTCACTGTAGCACAATTAGGTTAAAATTAAACTCAAACCATGAAAGAGAGGCAGAGGGGAAAACAGAGTTAAAGAGAAAGAAAAAAAACAAGATGATGAGGAAGGAGAAGAAGAAGAAGAAGAAGAAGAGAGGAAGAAGAAGAAATGATTAAAATAATTACAAATTGCGCCCTGACAAGCAAGAGCAAAATTTAGCCCAGAGCCATTTGTCTGTAATTAGTTAATTAATCCTTACACAAATTATGAGCAATAACTCATCATACGGAGCTCACCCATCAGAAATTCAGCCGACTTAGATTTCTTCTGCTTAGGTTGCTTCAGAGCCTTCTGCTCCAACTTCTGGAGGGAAATTGTTAAATGAATAAATTAGTTGCAGAATGAAGATCATCATTTATGATCCGCAACTAACGCAGTATTTTAAATATGGGACGACACTGAAATGTCATTTAATTTACATCGCTGCTAAAGGGGTCAAGCACTAATTGAACAACAGGGGTGGAAAAAATTTAATCATAAATAGATAAGAAAAGTTGACATGAATGCCTAATGAAGGTCACATTAAAATACTACTTCCCTCTGCTGCTAGAGGCCCCCCCAACCCAACCCAACCCAACCCAACTCGCCACCTCGAAACCAAAAAAAGAACATTTTCTCTTCGAAAATTTATGCACTTTCATATGCGCAACGTGAGAACGCTGAGATTTGTCGCGCATATGAATATGCAAATCAATACAAACACATTGCACACAGCATGAAGACTGAACTCACACACACACACACACACAACAGACAGAGAGAAAGTGAGAGAAAATAGGCCGAGAGACTTCAAACTAAATTAAAAAACATAAATGAGAGTATCTCAGTCTGCTCCTGTTTACTGAAACTTGGACATGCAGATTCAGGATATGAAAAGACAAAAGTAATGGAATAACAAGCAAAAGTTTTGTGTTAAGCAAAGCCTACTCTATTTCTTTTTTTTTTTTATATTTCTCTTCAAAGAATGAATTCTCACTCTTAAACATCACCTACTGTCTCATAGAAGAGATAGTAGCCATCGGTTAAGTTTAACATGCATCCCCCAGCGTAACGCAGTCATACAACCTACTGACTCCACATCACTGCATATGATGACATTCATTACTAAAAATAAATAAATAAATAACATCTAGCATCTAGTGTCCAAGAGTCTGACATAATGGGATTGCAGCTAAAATTATCAACACACACACAGGGTTGCTGTGAGAAAATACTAATACTATATTAAGATCTCATCAAGTTCCATCCCATTAAGATCCCCAGAAAAAATAATGCAATTTCCACAACTCAAATATGGCACATATTAATGCTTGTTTTATTTAATCAGAGGTTAAAATCAAACATTTTCACTGTCTTTCCAGTGTGTTTGTTATTATTTATGTCGTCCTCAAGCTCTTCATCATTGGTCAGTTTCTGACCACAGGAACACTGCTGGCTGGATATTTTTGGTGGTCAGGCAATTCTGAATTAATTTATTATACACAATGACTCAACGCAGTCTTTAGGCATCATCTTAGCGTTTAAAACCTCTAATAGTTAAAAACGAGTAATTTTTGGACAACTTTTTAAATGTTTTTCAAGACTTTTAAAGTGCCTGCAAGACTCAAATTTACACAATAACTAGAAAGTAATTAACAAGTTTTCAAAAAGAGCTTCAATAAGTATGACTTATTTTTGCACACATAAGCCATTCTGATCTCCAGCAAACAAATTATAAAATGCTCTATAGAACAAACAAGGGCCACTTATGTAATGTATTTACATGGTAACCAGAGAGAAAATGATTCACTCAACATTTATACAACAGTCACCTGGTTTTTGGTGGTGACTGGAAACACAAGTCACTATAATAATGTGAATAACAATTTGTCAAGTAACATACAAATGCTACCACAGTGTGGTAGTTGAAGCCTTGTGTGTGTAACTGAAACCCTAGACTGCGCAGATCAGAATGATAAAACAGCCGGCACAGGAGGCAGGCTGCTTGCGTGTACACAATATAAAACATGATTTTAAAAATGAAGAATCAGGCTGTGTAAGAGGAGGATGTTTTTCATTCTAGATGACAGAGCAATTAAAGTGGGGAGAGGACACATTCCAATCTGGAGAGAGGAGTTTAGCGAATCTGTTTTTACATCCAACAAGCCCTAAAGCCAGACATTCATTTGCACCACTGAGATTAATGCTTATCTAATTGTAACTTATTTAAAAACCATTTTCGTTTTTTTTCTCCCCTTCTCCCAACTGCCTTCAAATCAATTTCTCCAACAGGAAGCCTGTAATGCTGACCAGAAAAAAAAAATAAAAAATCAACTGTGTCAATTAAGTTTTTCATTTTCTTTTCTTTTCAAGCAGCCATTTGGCACTGTTTTACATGTATTTTCTATGTACTGCATATTTCGCTACGTGTCCCAAAAGAAAACGTATGGCTGATGATTCCACCAGCACTCGAGAAATAAGCAAATAATGATTTAACTAAAATCAGAGCGGCACAAAAGTATCTAGTACTTCAGCATTAATTAATAATTAAAAAGTTTTCAACGACAAAACAAACCCATTTTATCTTGTATACTTTCAATGTTAATTATCTTAAAAAATACCATATTTTTCATTTTTCTCCATTTCCTAATCAAATACAGAACTTCCACAACGGTAACATCAAAGTACTCGTCACACATACGAAACTTCTGCTCATCCCAGATCAGTTTTAGCAGATCCTGTAACTGCACAGCCATACGGTTGTCACACACATGCGCACACACAGTGGTCTACTGCTATAACTTTTTGTTTCTCGCACACGCTCTCAGACATCGATGGGGCTGGTCTCTGTTACACTGATGTAATTAATCTTAAATTAGCTCAATGTGGGCGGATAGCCTGCCTTTAGTTCTCAAATCACTGTTTTTGCCCTTGAGACTCAGGCACTTTGAAGAGGGTGGCAAAAATATAGCAGATATCAACTTTAATTACTGCAGAAACCGTTTCATCATCGGCCAGACGCAAACGTCAAGTAACAACAAAAATAAATATCTAAAAAAATATGACAACATGCATTTCAGTGCAATAATATTTTTTTCATATGACATGTTGTGTAAAGTTTGTTATTTCATGGCATGGATGCCTTTTCCTGATTCCAGAAAAAAAGTGGTGAATGCCAATATTATTTCACTTCCTCTGAAAAGATATGAGAATCCATAAAGTACAGTTTTGTGCAAAAGTCTTTAGAAAAAAATTAAATGTAAAGCAATTTATCTGGGCAGTAAGCATGTATTTGTTTAAAAAAATCCCACTAACATTAGAATAAATTCAAATAAACAATCCATTGAGCTTGTTTCCAAACCTTTCCTCAAGGAGGTTCTAGTCCTAGAAAGTATTTGCAGCTACTATCCAATGCCTAGTTTAGCTAATCAGTCCTTCATTAAATTAAATCAGGCGTGCTGCTGATGGAATTTAACAAATCAATGCACTGGCTTGTGTCCACTTAGAAGTCAGGAACTAAACTTCTTCTAAATGTTTTCTTCTACCCAATATATTAATAACTTTATTAAAAAAACAAGAAAATCTGGTTACATTCTACTGTATTCATGTTTATTTGTATTTCCTCTAATAATATACTTGCAAATGCAATAACAGCCAAGATACAGAGTTCTGAACATTTTTTCAAGACTTTTGCACAGTATTGTGTGTGTTTTAAGTATGTACATATCCTTTGCAGTACAAAAAAAAGATTTGTTAAAACTGTGCATTTCAATTATTTTTTTTTTTCTTGCAAGAAACGTCAACACATTTTACCAAGTTCATCTCTTGGAAGGAAAAAAGAAAAGAAAAAAGAACCAGGACTGCCATTACGCAAGTGCTTTTGGTCATACTTGCTGTGGAACTGCAAACAATCTTTTATTTTGACTGCCTAAATACGTATCCTCTTTGCCTACCCATCTTCTCCAATAAGAAGTTCCCTGTTAGGTATTGTGCTTGTCAAAACAGAAAACGCTCAAGGACAAAATGCGCAGCTGCTTGATATCTGAATAAATAAACTACACTATGACAAAAAAAGGTAACGATCATTATTCAAGTGTTCGGGCTCGCTGCCAAAACCGTTTCAAATAATGCTGCGCAACTGTTGCGATGCTCTAAATATCATAAGCCTTTAGAAACATAGCGGCCCAGATCCTTCCTGACGCGCCGTTCCAATGCAGATCAAATACATTAAAATTCCAGTGTTGGGCTAGGATCTTGTGCCAAGCAAACACTAAACTACAACATTGCAACAGGCCTTGAACAAAAAAAAAGGGGGGGGGGACTGACTCGATTCAGCTGACATCCGGAGGCATCCAGTTTGTGGATTTAAAAGTGAAAAGCCTGCCCTTTCTTCCAATGAGCACAAACGTGAAGCTGCTAGTCCGTATTCAGGCTGGAGAGGAGAGGGCTTATTATTTATATATATATAAAATAATCTCCGACTGGTGACAAGTGAAACGTATGAAGTTTTTAAAAGAATGTGATTGTTGTCAAAAGGAATTGGGCACAGCAGCGGCTTGTTCAGTTCGGGTTCTAGTCAAAGAGGTGGTGGTGCCGGAGTGGGGGGGCGTGGGGGGGACAGACAGGGCGCAGGGCTGGTGGGCATAGACCAGCTCCACACTGAATTTTGCATACTGTACGGATCAGCGCCCAGTTCAGACGAGTCACATTGAATCTGCCATCAACCAATTGTGCTTCATGAAACCGTCAACTCTCATTTACGTCTGACTGTTTTCCTCAGCCCGGCTGCAGTAAACAAACCCTGCTCTGAGCTTGTGCTCTCTCTCTCTCTCTCTCTCTCTCACA